GTTTTGCTTCAAATAGTACGTGATCAATTTCATTAGCATAAGTGCCACATGGGGAACGCAGAAGTGGTCTACCTATTAATTTTTGTACCTTCTTAAAAATACTCGTTCAATTTTGAATCGGGACCATGATATCAACACTTTAAATCGTAATATGCTCTTAGGATTATTTGCAACCTTAAAAAAGTGTTAAATTAAATCAGGTGTTCAATTAAATCTGGTGAACTGATCGACTAAGCATTAAGAATGATGAAATAAGCATTGCGAATGATGAGATTTCGAACATTTTTGACGTATTTGCGAGTGCGTTGTTATAGTGACTCTAATGTGATTATGGATTGCCTAAGGAACATTATAAAACCTAGAATTAATTTTTTTAAAAATTTAAACAAATGGCTCCTTAACCACTGTTTTTAATATGTTAAGTTTGAATCCATCAACAATAAAGTGAAGTCCTCATTTGGAATGGCGTATCTTCATTTAGGGGAGACAAAAAAAAAACATATGCAAACCAGCTAGCTGCATCATTAAAATGGAAGTCGAAACATAAAAACATAAATATGCATAAACATGTATATATATATATATATATATANATATATATATATATATATGCATGTCTGAAAATAATCTGTGTAAAGCGATCAAATCATGTTTTTCCTAAAATAATTGTCAGTTTTCCAAAATCATTAGAATTGCATAATTAAATATCAACCTTATTAATTATAAACTTTAAATTATTCAGTATCATATTATTACCTTGAGCACATCCATTTTCGGGTCAATCCGAGGCAACTATCAAATCAAACGTGCCTCAGTACTGCAGTAAGAAATCGCCATAAAATATGTCTCTATTTACGCTTCTGTTTTCATATTTTTTAATCTGGCAATACGAAAATAATTTGTATCATTCTTGAAAGATTCCGGTACGTGTAAAGTTCATTTGAATTCACTACTCGCTTTATTGATTTCATTTTGTGCTTTGTTCTGTATTTTCCTTACATTTTATTTCCTGTTTTTGCTTCATATGTTCTTTTTCGTATATATTTTTTACTTAATGTGTTCTATTTTCGTTTCAATTTTTTTGAGTGCCCTTCACACTATTGTATTGATAAATTTTGCTTTGGCCATATTGATACAATATCAGAAAGGACTTCTTTCAGCGGATATAATCGTGTGATCTGATGAATAGGTTATATATTTTCTTTATTTTGTTTTCCAGCTTTTTAATATTTTTTTTAAATAAAGTTTTTTTTTGAATATTTTTTATAATATTTATTTTTAGTAATTTCTCTTTTCATTAATCTTTATTATATTTACTTGATTGAAAGAATATTTAAAATATGTTTTGCCTTATTATAAAAAAAAGATACAATCATAGAAAAGCAAAAATTAAAATTTTGCACTAAAAAACCAAGCTGACGGATAATAAAGTATAAATGAGAAAAAAGAGAAAATAAAGCATTAAAAATTAAATAGTTTTTACTTTGAAAAATGATGAGTGGTTTCTAAGATCTCTCGTTCGTAAAAACATAGTTTCTCGAAAAACGCAACTGAAGTTTGAAGACTTTGTAGCATATGGCGGAACTACATATCACTCTCATTCATCAATAAATTAATGTTTTGAAACTTTATTTTAATTTTTTTTATTACTACACTCATTTATTCATTAATTACACTTCATTAATTCAGACTCTCATTCGATAGTTACCTATTTCTTTTATCCTGCAGTAAGTTAATAATTTCGTAAATTGAAGAAAAAAAACTTTTAGAGCTATGGATAAGAGTTTTTCCTGTGTAAACTTTAGCATGACTTGTACCTATATTTAATGACAAGGTAACAAGGTGCGTAATTTAACATTGACTCTAAGACACTGTTCAATTAAAATTTTAAAAAGCGCATACTAAAGTCCGAGATTTTAGCAAAAAAGCAGTACATTAAACCAATCAGTTTTAATTCCTTTATTATTTCATTAATTTTGTTCATTATTTTATTAATTTATTCATTATTTCATAAATTTATACATTATCCCATTAATTTATTCATTAATTCCATTTCATTTATTAAATCTTTTATTATTTAATATTTATTATATAAAAGAAAAACGAAAATGGAAACCTTTAGAGCTACAGATAAGAATTTTCCTCCATTAACGTATCATGGCTTCTTGCATTTAAATTTTCCTCTATTAGCTTTATCATGTCTTCTTTCTACATTTAATAACAATTTACGCAATTTAACATCGACTCAAAAGTACTGTCTATTTAAATTTTAAAAAAGTACTTACGGTAACTCAAATTTTTAAGAAAGAAAACAATTCACTTAAGAACATTTCATTTCTTATTCATTATCATTTCATGATTTTATTCATTATTTCCTTAATTTATACATTAATTAGATTTCATTATTTGAGACTTTTATATTCAATATTTTTTCGTGTATCAAGCAGTAAAGGACATAAGTCAAAAAAAAAAATTCTTTTTAGAGTTATCTATCCGTATTTTACTCCAAGACATGAGGTTGTTTCTTATATTTAATAACAAGGAACAGAATTTAACATTAGCTCTGAAATACTCTTTACTTAGAGTTTTAAAAAGCGCTTACTGAAGCTCAAATCTTAAAGCAGTTTACCGTAGTTTCTGTCTTCTCATCTTCTCATCTTATGTCATTAACTTTTTAAGTAAGAAAGTGAAAGACACGTCATTAAGTAAAGAAATGTAGCTGAGATGCATAATCTTAACACGAAATTATAGTGTTTTAGATAAAAATAAAAGCTCTTCACTTGTGTTAAAACTCAATCGATAAAAACCAAGAATCTCTGAAAATGAGAGTGTATATTCGAGTTAAGTAAAATATGTGTTTTAGGGTTTTACATATATTATTTTTAGCTAATCAAAATGTTTTGCTTTGCGCAATAATACATTATTACGCAAATCACGTAATTATATTTTATTCAAGTTGTTTAAATGATTTTGTGCATGTTAAAATAATCTTTTCAACTTATGCTTTATCAATATTCTTTTAACAGATGTCTTAAGAGCCGTGATGGCTTAAGGCAGGGTTTCTTAACCTGTGGTTCATGGACCCCTAAGGGGTCCATGAGTCATATTTTGGGGGTCCGCTGACTACTTCTAATTTTTAAAATGTGTGGAAGCCTACCCATTGCTTGTAAAGCGAGCTATGGCAGCTATAATTCCGTTTGCTGCAGTGAACCTTCGCGAAGCTGGATTTTCCCCACTTGTGACAATAAAATCAAAATATCGAAATCGATTGAATGTTGAACATGATATGCGCGTTGCTTTGTCGAATACCATCCCTCAATCCAATTTATTAATTAAGGAAAAGCAGCAGCAACCTTCACATTAAAAATTTAAATTTTAAAAATTTTGTATACTATGAAAATAATAAAATTAAATGTTTTCTAATAATTGATGTTTTTTGCAATAATTTTTTTCACAGGGGGTGGTCTGTGACTTCTTAAAAAATTTTAAAAGGGGTCCATTATACCAAAAAGGTTAAGAAACACTGGCTTAAGGGATAGAGCATTCGTATTCCAATGAGGTGAACCGGGTTCGAATCCCAGCGAAGAACTGGTCAACCCGAATTCCGCATCCGGCTCACACCGATCACAGTGCTGACGTGAAATTTTCTTATTATCGATATTTAGATTAAATTATTACTCGATACTAAGATAATTTAGATAATTACTCGTTCAAATGGCTATGAATAGCTAAACCATAAATAGGAAGCCCCGACTATCGTATGAGGACATTTACGATCCTGAGTTGTTATAAATTTTTTAAAACCATAAAACCGGTTTTGAAATCATGATGCGCTCCCCTTCTGGTTCGTAAATGTTCCACTAAATCCCCGTTTATGCATCAATCAAGGATTCAAATTCAGTAATATGATTTTTTGTATGCATGAAAGATTAAACCTTTCGGATCAAATATTAAATTTGTTTCGTTCTTTAGAGACTTATGAAAATATGTAAATGTAAAATGTGTAACTTATTAAAATGTGCATATGTTTTTCTATTTTGTTTCACAGATCTATTTTCTTCGGTTTCGCAAAATTTATTGCATCCTTTTTTTTTAAAAATTTTATACTTAAAAGCCTGTACATGTTTTTGCTTTGAATTTTAAACTCAAAAGACATTAGTGTTCTGTAAATGAGATTAAAAAACAGAACATAAAATTTAAATATTCGTTTGGCAAAATAAAATATTTAATTAATGTAATTAAATCAGTTACTTACTTGTTACGTTGAAAGTAAATAATGCTGGAATTAGGAAACTTAATATTAGAAATATCTGTTAACATCTGGGTTTTTTTGTATACAAAAAAATTTCAGAACTAAGGAAACCTAACTAAATAACTAACTTAAAACTAACTAAGAAAATAAAATTTAAATGTTAACTATCTGTAGTCAACGGTTTTTGCCTCCACAGAAGGACTTTGACTTCAAATTTAACTATTTTCAAGAGATGTCCGCGATACAGTCAAGTTAATGTTTTCTATGTACTGAATTTTAGAAATAATAAAAATCTGTCCGGCAAACTATTAAATCCCACATACCACCATATGTAAGAGTTCAAATAAGAGTTTTTTCTTCATAAATCGCTTCTAAGAAATATAAGTTATAGTCTTTGTCATACGTTTTTTTTTCTTTAATAAAAGTTTTCAATATAGAAAAGAAAGGAGAAAAAATACTAGTTCTTAAAGGATATATATGGCTTTGTTCAATGGGCTATAATTTATTTTCAATAATTTATTTTAAGTTATTTTTTATCCTTAATAGGCTGCGTTTTATAATAAATATGAATTATTGTGCTTTGTTGTTTAATCATTGTTTTTTAAACTAAAGATTTAGTAATTTGAAATAATATCATTTGAAAGGATTAAGTTTCAGCAATAACAGATATGAAATATTTGAAAGTTTAAAAAATATAACTTTATTTGAATTTTCTCAATTTCATTTCTGTTCCTTTGTTTCGTTTCAGGTTTTATACACAATCATTCTTACTGCAGGAGTTTTTCAGCATTTTTTCAACACAATCACAGAAAGTCCAAGTAAGTTTTTAACGCAATATGTAACGGAAGAAATATAGTTTTGAAATTGATACGATTTTCCCCAATGTATTTGTTATTGTTATATTTCTTTAAAACAGGATAGGCGTCTTAAAAATGCACGATTAACTCTCTCTATATACGTTCCTTCATCCCGTATAAGTATATTCGAACTTCTTTTTTAAACACACTGCAGTGGGAGAAAATAAAGACAAGAATTGCTGAAAACATTATCCATCTACCTTTTCCGAGCACTAGTATTATCTAACTTCCTTCTGAAACTCACTGCTGTGGGAGAAAATAAAGACAAGAATTGCTGAAAACATTATTCATCTACCTTTTCCGAGCACTAGTATTATCTAACTTCCTTCTGAAACTCACTGCTGTGGGAGAAAAAAACAACAACAACAATTGCTGAAACCATGGTATGAAAGGGCTGATTGCTAAGCGAAAATTGCATCATCCAAATAAGAACTTAAAAATAAGTAAAAAGATTGGTGTGTGACGCATGTTAACCTAAATGAGGTAACAATTACATAGTGGTACCTAATTCTACAAGTTTTTTAAAAAAAGTGCTCTAGTGCGATTCTTTCCTTACACCGTGGATATATTTAGCCTTTAGAAGATGGCTAGTAAGGAAAAAAAAAGAATGCCTTTTATTATAATTTAATTTCTCTGTTGTATTTTATATAAAAATTCGAATTTGTAGTATTTGAAAATAAGTACTTACTATTTTTATTTACTAATAGTCATATTTAATGTATCAAAAGGTGTACCTTAATCTTGTTTCTTAGTTAACTGAGATAATATGTTAAGTTATGAAGCCAGAATAAAAGTATCTCTGATAAATATTGTTAATGGATTTCTGACCATAAATATGGTGTGAAGCTGCAAGCCGCTTACTTTGGGACGTTGGTCAATATTTTTTTTTCAGTTTCACTTTTTCAATAATTTGAATTTTCTATAATTCTATGTGAATGAAAAATAGCTTGCATCTACTTAAAAATTTCCATTTACCAAAAATATTTACATAAAATGTGTTCAACTACTTATTATTTTTCGTTATTTAATTTAATTGTTCAAAAACGGTTAATTAATAAAGTATTAAATTAATTTACATGATCTCAAACAATATCATTTAAAATAACAGAATTTTAAATTTGGACTAAATAAACTTAATAATTTCTCAAAAATATAAATAGTTCCGGTCAGGCAAATCCGATGTTCTGTTCTATGCCCATTCTATACAGCACCATTCTATACAGCGTTTTCGCACTAGAATTAGCAAATTTTTTTCCCCTAGCATTTTTACACATTGGGATCAATTTAATACAGCGGTGTTAAATTTTTAATTTTTACAGGTACTCTTATATTTACACTTGTACTGATATTTTTCTCCGTATGCTGTGTGATTTCATCAGTTTTGCTCTTAGTTGGACTCTGCGTGGTGAGATACAGACATTTTCAACTTTATTTGAGTTACTTAATTTTTAATTGATTTTAAATTATTAATATTTGAAAGATATTCTTTAATAATTATTCTAATTTGTATATATATATGATATATATATGATATATATATATATAGTCCAGTCATATTGATTGACCACCTGTCAAAAGCCAGAATAACCAGCTTTAGCAGAGCGGACCGCTGCGAGACGTGTAGGAAGAGAGTCAATTAGGTTTACTCTTGGTTGCCCTTTGGTTCATCTGGGCAGTCAGTTGCTCAACAGTTGCACGTCTATTCGCCCGAACGCATCTCCGTACCCTTCGTTCGCCTCTGTCATCTATAGCCCGTGGTGTACCACATGTGCCACGCAGCTTATTTTGGATAGCGCCATTTTGCAATGCACGGTATACTTTTACCACCGCCGCACTCGAACAGTTCACAAAATTAGCCGTTTCCGAAATGCTTCCACCCTTGGTCCGAAAGCCAATAATCATGGCCTTTTGGACGTCGGATAAATCGCTACGTTTCTGCATTACGCCAGCAATTGAAATGCTTTCCGATGCCCTAGGAGATTATTTGTATACACTCCACTGCTGCAATCTGCCTTCTGTTATTCGTTATTGCACGTTGAAGTCGAAAGTAGGCGTGGGTCACATTAATGTGACTGGACTGTATATATATATATATATATATATATTTTCTTTTCTTTTATTTTATTTATTTATTTATTAAATTTTAATTGTCCAATGTGATAAGCAGTTATTTTTTTAAAACATTTTTTTATTATTTTTTCAACATATAGGAATAAGGCTCTGACTTACAAACGGACACTCTTGATGAATGCTAATAAGTGCAGACTTTAGTGTTATGATTGAATGTATGAATGAAGGATAAAGTCTATAAAGGGCTTTATATCCATGTATGTAGGCTCTAACTTAAAAACAGTTACTCTAAGAAAGTAGGAAAACCCATGAAAGGGTTATATTCCTAGTTTACGTTTGTATGTTAAGCTTTACAAGCATTAACTATTTCACTTTTTTTTTCATAGATTTTACAAAAAATTTTTTTTTGTGTCATTATTAATTTCTTTACCTGTTATGTGCTTTGTTGCTTAAAATCTCCAATTATTATAACAAAAGCGTTTTTTTTCATAGATGACAGCCCTGAAATGTAATTTGCTTTAGATATTCTTTTACCAATTATTTTCTACTTAAAGCTAAAGGCACATTAATCATATTTTTCCTCTTTAACAATTTTTATTAACTATTAGATTAGTATATTTAATTTTATCACATGTTTATTAAAATTAAATTATTTAAATTCTTTAGTGGCATAGACGCATTATAACGAGTAATTTTTATCTTAGGATAATTATTCTTTATTTCGAAATGTCTCTTTCACTGTCTTAATGAATGTGTTCTGATGAGAACCTTTTCCTTTTTTCATAAATGTTTTTATTTTTTAAAATTATTTTTCGAATTATATTATGGTTATATATATATATAAATTCGAATTTGTAGTAT